ATTATAACCAGACAAGTAACACACAGAGCCTTGGAATAAATCAGACAGCCTCTCAAAACTACTGGAGGGCGGAAGAGTGATAGAGAGCTCTTCACCAGTACGGATGTGAAGAAAGAATACATAAAATGAACGGGACAGGGCTATCATAAACCATTTTCATACCGTCAGAAATCTGTAGTGCATGCCCTGGATGAAATAATAATTGAAATTCCCCGGTGTGCATTTTAGAAACATGAATGACAGCATCACTTCCTGTTTGTACAACTTTTTGTTGTATAAAATTTAGTGTTGCATTTAAAACTGGTATATATTAATATGCAAATACATTGTATGCTTTTGTTTTTTAGTTTTTATTTCATTTGAATAAATTTAACTTAAATTAAGTTCATATAATACTGTATTTTAACGCATATTATCTTTTTCTGCAAAAAGATGTGTGAGATCAAATAACAATTGGTAGATCCTCTATTGAACAAAATGTAGAAATGAAATCTGAAGGTCACCGTTTTGTTGTTACAGTGACTAACCGATTTGCTGTTTAAACATTGTGAATCTACTGTAAATCTGATGAACTTCAATTTCATATGACATAAAAAATTATCTTGCATCCAAACCCGTACGTAAGCAGATGAGAATGAGGCAAGACAGACAGCTAAAATATACTTCAGCGATATTCGGTTCTGACAGTCAAGGCGCAACTATAAAGAAAATGAGGTAACTTTATAAAGGAAAATTAGTGTATTCAGCTGTAGTTGGTCATTTGGTGCATGAATGGTCATAGCATGAATTAACAAACTTTGGTTACTATAATTCAAGCATTTCCAAAGTCCAGCTTAAATCATGAATTTCCTGACAAGAAAAATAAAACCTCAACCAAGAGACTGAAACACAAATGACTGTATAGTTTCTGTAATCATAGTCATAGCTGGATCATAAATGGAAGAAAGACTGACCTTATGGAAACTGCCATAGAAAATCTTCTTAATTTCACTTCCTTCGAAAGTCACCGTTTGAAATTCTCCCTTGTAGTCGGAATTGAAGAAGGTTAATGTTTTCCCTCCGTCTGAAGACAGACAAAAAAAAAATTAGACTCAAGGGTTTTACTGTAGATCTTTTAAGTCAGCGGGTTCTCAACTGGTTTTGTTTCAGGACTAAGATTTTACATTGGACATCAAGTGTAGACTTAATCAAATATGTACTCCTTATGTCCAGCAATATGCAAAATTAACGTCACGGACTGAATCTGGAAAACTGACCATTTTGGTTTTAGCTACATTTCAGTGTTTTTTTGCTAGTGTAACTTCATGAGTGTATGGTTAGTTGCATTTTATTATTTGCATTTAGCAGTGTCACTGTTTGCAACCCATTTTTGGGTCACGACCCACCAGTTGAGAACAGAGCATGTGAGCAGAGTGGAGTGGCAACAATTTCCCCTCTGCACTCCAAGCATTCAATAATCATTCAGCTCCGGGTTCAGCATTTCCCGCTCTTCGCTCCACTAATCAGAAACACCGCTCCGCCTTCACTCCATGACGAAATTTGCAGCTAAAGTATTTCAGTATGTTTTGAAATATCACAAAGTTCTGTTCAGAACTTATATTAAACGAAAAATACTAGACAATACTAGATGTATATTTTTAACGTATTAAATGACTGTTTAACTCACTTGTCTGTGCATCATCTCTCTACTATTGCGAAGCTGAGGGTTGTAGTTACTTCAGAAACAGAAAGAATATGCTGCAACTTTTCTGTTTTTAAGCTGATAAATCACAGGACAGCGTTGACAATCATTTTCTGCAGTCTTGAATGTTTCTATGTGCGCGTGATCTGTACGTTTTATGCGAGCTTGTTTGTTTGTGTGCGCGCGTGCAGCAATGTAGCAGCACATTAGTTTAGAGCGGAGATTAACTACCTGCACAATAAACTGTTTAAAACGTGAATTCACCCAATCAGTATTGAGTATCCACATGCTACAAACAAACATGCTTGAGATATAACCTCCCGCACTCGTCCATTGCCATCATTATACAACATTCACCTTCTTTCTGATTTGAGGGATCCACATATCTGTCAAGCTTGATAAAATGCAGTTATATTATGGGCTGTTGGCATTAATTGTGCTCGTGATGGAGTGGTAGTGAAGTGCTCTCGGAGCGAGTGAAAACCACCAACACTGACTTTCAAAAAAAAATCCACTCCTCGCTCTGCTCCCACTCCACTCCGCTCACATACTTTTTGAAGCACTTTTTGATAAACATATAATTGATCAAAAGGGGAAAAAGTATGTTGTACATTACAGTAGGAAATATTTAAACAATTTAAATCATTATTAAATAATGATTAAATTAAGTTTTTTTTTAATTAAGGATGAAAGATTTTATGTTGGGGCTGCATAGGGGCATAAAGGAAATCAAAAAGAGTAATACTCACTATCCAGGATAATGCCCACCAGTGGCTCATTGTTTTTGTCAAGGATTTCCCACAATGCAAAAGGTTCCTGAGGAGTTTCAGGCAGTATGCGGAACAGCATAGATATAGTGTATTCAGAGGGAAGGCCTTCTGGATGTAGATACCTGTCAACATAAATCATACATATGCAAACTCCTTCACGCCAGGTTTGAAATAAAAAACTGAAACGATTTGTCACCTTTTGGAGAATTTTTATTCATTTATTTATTTTATTTATTTATTTATGTTTTTTGAATAACAAAGCCCCACGCATGGCACGTGAAAGGAAAGATGTTCCCTTTCAGTCGGTCACTCCGAGTCACGTCGGTGACCGACGAATTGGGATCTCGCTTAGAGAGACCAATCCACTTTGAGTGTAAACTAAACGAGCCAATGCACATTGGCATGCGATGATTGCATCCAGCTGCCGCTGATCACAGCGTGAGCATAAAAAGGCAGCCGGTGCAACGCATACCAGCTTTTCGCTTCAGGCTGCACTACCCCCTGTCGTGCTGCAAACGGCCGTTTCCCCTGTGCGTCTCAGCACGTAAAAGAGCATTTCCCTAAAAGAGTACAATAAGCGGGTGCGTCTTTGTAAAGATGCCGTTTCACCTGTGCGTTTCTGGATGCGGTCGTTACCTGGCGCCAGGTGATAATCACGATCGCTGCCTCACGTTATGTACAGGGTCTGTACTGAACAATTTATCTAGATATCTAGATCATTTTTATTTTTGATTAATTATAATTTGGCATCAGACTTATGTCTGTTAGATCTAAATTTGTGATTCATCCGACTATTTGAGAACTTGTTGATGACTTCTTGTTTTTTCAAAGTCTTGACTTTCATGTGTTTTTTTCACAATGTGTCTGGGGTTTTTTTTGTATTTTAATTTAAATTTTAATTTATGTTTATTTACAGAGAGTTAATAAAATAAAAAGAGAGATACACTACTCTTATTACTTCTCAACAAGAACAAAAAAAACATAAAATGTATTTATATTTATATCTCCCTCAAACCACTGCAATGCAACCCACATGGGATAAATGCTGTAGAACAGTCAAAACAAAACTATCATTGTGAAGTATAACACAATACAGGAAATGAAATTTAATAAAATAAAACAAAACAAATAACTAAAATAAACATAGATCAATATTACATAAGTATGAAAAGAAACAATTATGGTTGAATACTGCAAAATAAACTGCACAGCCAGAAAAACAGATCTTCTACCACATGAGCACTTTCCTCTGAAGAGCAAATGTGAACTGTATCCAGAGCGCTGCCATTAGCCTGTGAGTCTTTGGCCTTTCTCATAATCACAGATGAGATTATCATAATAACAGTGTTGTAGTAATTCCCAGCTGCCTGAGTGTGAGTTAAAGTGAGGCTGCGGTTTGCGAGATTTACAGGAGAGGAGATCCTCGCACTGAAACCCTCCACTGTAATAACAACATTCCCCCTGAGCGCAGGAAAGTGTAGCCTAATCTAAATATTATCGCATGCTAGACAGGAGGAGGAGGGTCAGTGCACTGGGATCAGGCACAGAAGCACGATCGATTTAAGTGAGGGGCTAATCTGTTCCTGCTCACTAAAACCACTTCATCTAGATTTGATTAAACTTGATGTGTATTATGGTTTTGATTTGACAGGTGACATGTTCCAGCTAACGCACATTTTTCTCATTTCAGAGAGTTTCAGTTGAGCGTGGTGGCACACTTTCTCACATACAGAAACACGGTACACACACACACACACACACACACCTGGTAGGCTGGGAGACGAGGGCGTCCTTGTGCAACCGGTAGCAGGGGTAGCTGTTGAACGTCCCAGGCTCCATTGAGACACCTTGCACACTGTTGTAGTGCTTCTCGACCAAACCAAACATCTCCATCATACGGAAACCTATGAAGGACAACAGATAAATTTCAAGAATGCTAATCTAATGAAACAGTGCCGTTTAAAGGTTTGAGGTCGGTAAGATTTTTTTTTTTCTTTTAAATCTCTTATGCTCACCAAGGGTGCATTTGTTTGATCAAGAAAAAAACAGTAATATTGTAAAATATTGAAATTTAAAACTAATTTATTATAATATATTTTAAAACAATTATTTATTCCTGTGATTACTCCAGTCTTCAGTGTCACATGATCCTTCAGAAATCATTCTAGTATGCTGATTTGGTGAAGAAACATTTCTCATTATTATCAGTGTTGAAAATAATTGGAAAACAGCAGCTAAATATTTTTTGTGTAAACCATTAAACTTTTTTTTTTCCAGGATTCTTTGATGAATAGAAAGTTCAAAAGAAAAATGTGTTTCTTTTTAACAACGTAAAAGTCTTACTTGTCACTTTTGATCAATTTAATTCATCCTTGCAGAATAAAATAATTTATAAAAAAATTAAAAATTTACTAACCCCAAATATTTAGAGAGTAATGTATGTACATCAAATGAAAGTAAATTAAGAAATTTAAAAAAAATTAAATGAGAAAAGGTGATTAATTCAGTGACCTGCATTTCTTGTCTTAAAGTCTGTTTTTCTATGTTAAAGACTTTCCTATGGCAGATTCATATTTTACATTATACATTAGATTATAAATATTACAAATATGTTAAATACGAATATATTATTATATCATACAAAATAAAAAAATATTTATAATATAAATGGTCTATTTTTAAGCTTATAATTTCCCTGAAAAGTGTAAACAGTAGCTATGGCAAAAAGTTTATGGAAACAGCAACAACAGCTTAACCAACAGTGTGAGTTTGGGGGTGGGTATGTTTGTCCATCCAGTGAAAGACAGGCCGTGTGTAGAGGAAAAATTAAGTGTGCTTTTTTTCTTTCTTCCAGATCTAGATTATGGTGTGAATAACATGACCCACTGGTCCTAATTAAGTAAAGGGGTTGTTAAATACTGACAGTGGATGAATAGATCTAATTCTTCAAATAAATCCTTAGATCCTATCCTACCCAGCACAATGATGTAGAGGTTTGTGTGAACCAGGAGCATTTATTGTTGTCTTACCAGCTAAAGTGTTTCCGCTCATCAACATCGAGGGGCAAGCTGTAAAAGAATAAAAAGAAGAGGTGCAAAAACTATTAATTCCACAAGAACAAAGTGATTTTTGGAAATTATATGATGCATTCAAATATTTTTTTTCTGTTCAGAGACCATTTTAACAGCAATAGATTTCAAACTTGTATTTTAGACTTGACATAAGCGTGAGTCTCAAGGGATGATTTCAGAGGACAGAAGAGCAAGAACTTATCCAAAGTAAAGAAGTAATCCAAAAGTGATTACCCTGCAATCTAAAAAGGCTTCACACTTTATTCATCCCTTAAAAATATCACAAGTCATTGCTTACCTATTTTCCTCTGAGACAAAGTACACTTGCAAACATGCCAAGGTCACTGGTCAATCGCATTGTTTAGTGGTCATTATTTAAAATATATTTGGCCAATCAGAGTATTCCAGAGAGTTGTGTAATAATGTAATTAATTAATGTTATACACAACATTGTCACATACTGAGATAGCAACCTTATTTCACCGTTTTAAAAGCCATTTGTTACTGCTACTCCATCAACCTCTGATTTTTTATTTATTTATTTATTTTGACAGTATAATTAATCTTAAAGTCGCAATGAAACAAAGTAGCGACATATCTTTTCTTCCATACTGTGACACATTCGGGTGTAACATATTATCGACAAAGAAAAAATGTGCTTTGACTTGTTTCTATGTATTGATTGTGGATTTTGAGATGTGGGAACTCTCAAAACTGGGACGGTTGAATGCAGTGACTTAATGTTGAAGTCTGTCCAGCTACAAGCCAGAAATACTTTGATTCAACACCTTCAGTTTATAATTTGATTGGTCTTAAACTGTATTTATTGACTTGACTTATCATTATTAATATTATATATAGATAGCAAACATGATACATGATAGTAAACAGTAATTATTGGAAATGAGTGTTTCAAACACATCAGAATGTCTTGAAAGTATAACATTAATTGTAAAAGACATAGTTCTGGTTTCTGATTGGTCAATATAGCATCCTAGCTATTCTCAAATGCAGACACAGTACAGTATGATCCATTCAGTTGCATAGCAACGTTCTGTTAAGTCAGGGACTTTATCTTCTAGCAGAAGAATGTCACTTAATAAAAATCTTCAGTGAAAATTGGCATCCTTAATATTCTCATTGTGTAGCATGTCTAAGCATATTGCTTAAAAGCAAGTTCTATACCACGTCACAGCACACTGCAAGAGGAAGTTTGTGTGGATTCTCAAAGGGACGTACTGGCAGTCGCAGCCTCACAAACAAAAGTTATGAGCTGTTCTTCAATTTTCTTGAAGGCATCCAGATCATCCACAAAGAACACATGTCTCTCGCTGGGTTTGCTGGCAATGTTCACCAGCTCCCCATAGTCAGCATCAGCGAAGCCAATGGCAAAGATGATGTAGCCTATGGTGAAACAAGAAAACATTACTTTTATTACAGCATTTAAAGTTCTATTTTTAACAGAAACAACCAAACCACTAGTCAGTTGGTGTTTCTCTGAAGCTGTTGTTTATTACGCTCGTTTTTAGATTCATACAAAGTGAAAATGCAATTGGAACATTCAGCTCACTCACCCTCCATCTGCATCTCCTTAGAGATCTTGTTGACATCATCCTGAGATCGCCCGTCTGTGAGCACTACCAACACTTTAGGAATGCCCCTCCTTGCACCCACGTCCTCAGCAAAGATGGCCTCCTTCACATGCTTAATGGCTCGACCTGAATCAAGAGTCATAAACATAGATGTTACTGCCTCATGCCAAGAGCAGGATTTACACCACTTCACGAACTCCGGGAACGCCAAAAAGTGATGGATTTCACAGGAACTTGCATCCTGACAGGGTGAGTTCCGTTTACCAGAGAGACATATTTTGTTGAAACTTCAAGCCAGTACCTGCAGAGAGCTGGAATAATGATCAATGAGGTGAAAGAACAAAACCTTTGACAATAAATATCTATTGAAAAGTGTGAATTCAAAAACAATTTCCTTGAAATGTTGTTAAAATGAAGCTGCTATGACGACTGGTTTCTGATACTTCAGTGAACGTTGCTCAAACTATCAGTGTCTTTTTAAAGTCTAAAAAAAATATGCAGAACAGAAAATGGCATGATTGGTAGTATAATTCTGCCAGGACACTATGGACACTATGTTAGTTTGGCTTTGTGTTACATCTCCTCAGTAAATAGTTTTATTATGCACATACGTTTTGGAGCCTGGGATAAATTATACAACCTGACAAACAAAATTTATGAAAAGAGTGTGAGAGGGAATCATTACTACATTGGTCTTGTTGTTGTTTAGCACAAATGAGTAAAAGAAAAATCATAAAAAGTTAACCATAAAAAGTTTCCCTAGTGGTTATTTAATTAATTTAAAAGGCTTAAAACAATTATATAAACAATTATTGGCAATAAATAATAATCATAATTGTATATAATTGTAAAATTATAAGTAAACAATACTTTATGATGCATTGTTTCTATATGTAGTGTTCCTGTGGCTCAGTGGTAGAGCATTGCGTTAGCAGTGCAAAAAGTCGTGGGTTCAATTCCCAGGGAACACACGTACTGGTAAAAAATGTATAGCCTGAATGCACTGTAAGTCGCTTTGGATAAAAGCGTCTGCTAAATGCATGAATTGTTAATTATAAACAGATATATTTACATTTAATGACATTTTAAATATTTGTACTGATTATAAAAATACTGATTACACACAAGTTGTGCCAGACAAGGCCATTTAGGGGTTTGTTTGCACGGCTGAACAACTTTTGTCATTATTAACAAATTTATTCTATTTTGTGTATGCTTTACATAAGCACTTAAACTTTCATTTGCGCCTGGTTGGGTTACAAAAATTGTGCAAGCCAACGCCAGTCTCACCTACTATTTTTAAGCTCACAAAGTGCCAAGTGTTTAGCACAGAGCAAAACAAAGTCAGACCCCTGATGAAATGAATTTTCGAATCACGTTTTGCGTGACACATCCCAGCAGACCTGAACTGTGGGGTCTAACAAGCTGCACTGCCCCGTTTCAATATTTTACCATTATCACCAACATGGCACTGCAGCAGCAAGACATCAGCCGGGCTGCTCATTTCTAATTTGCATCTCTAATCTCTCAGAAACGTCTCAGGTTCCCCTGGGATCAGCGAGTATTAGACACAATCCCCTCACAAAAGCTGCACTCTGAATAAAATATGGACGGGCATCTGAGATGCTGCACTTTGGTGATATATTGCGACGAATTGAACAAGGGGACCCTGTGGCTATGCCTGACTGGCTTCTAAAGCTGCCTGTTTCTCTTTTTGGCTTTTCTTCAGCTCCTGTCAGAGGGAGACAAATGATGGACTCCAACTAAGGAAGCAGACGACAGCACTTTTTGAAGTGTGAGTTATTTTGTTTTAAAATAATTTAGACTGCAGATTGGCGTTGTGGCCAACTGTGGCCTCGAACTGACGGAGGCAAAAGCACTGCTGATTGACTGACAGATGAACAAGACATCATGACTGCAGCATCAGTCAAAAGTGGGCATGGACTGTTCATTTGTGTTTGTGAAATTCGGCTAATATTTTTCACTCTTAGTTGACTTGTTTGTGAGGAGAATACTGAGTACAAATCAACTATAGAATCTTCACAGCACTTACTCACCCTCATGTTGTTCCAAACACATATGACTTTCTTTCTTCTGAGGAAAAAAATGATCAAATTTGAAAAAATAAAAAAATAAATAAAATAAATAAAATCTATCTATCTATCTATCTATCTATCTATACACACACATATGTATGTATATATATATATATATATATATATATATACAGGTGCATCTCAATAAATTAGAATGTCACACAAAGAAAATTAATATAAAAAAATAAAATAAGTATAAACAATTATAATATATTATAATTTACATTATAAATGACAAATAATTAATAAATTACATTACCTTTATTACATTACACTTACAAGTTTGGAATCACGAGAGAGATTTATTATAGAATCTTCATTTTTGGGGAGTTAATTATTCCTTTAATATTCTAATGAGAAAATATGTGGGTTAGTGTCATGCCATAGGCCACAAAAATGAACCATACCATCAGGTAAAAACTCTAAAAACATAATTCTCTGAAAACTTTGAACATCAAAACAACATCATCCCATTTAAATATTTTCCAAATTTCAGAGAAACATACTTAATACTTAATGTCTTAATACTCAGAAATGACTTCTCTTTTTTTCCAAGTTTAAACACACTGAATGAGGCCAATCACTTTGATCCTCACCTCATCCTCTGAATATGAATGTAGGAAAATGCAGGCGAGGGATTAGCCCTAATACCCTCAGAACATAAGTCATGCTCATGTTTCAAATGAGCAGCCCGCTAAAGCCGGGATGGATAAATGCACCGGGCTCATAATGCCTGGATCACACATGTCCATAGACATGTATCTGCTCTCACCAGTGAGGCACAGCATCTGCCGCCCACCCACTGACGGGGGGCTCATTGCCGTGGAGAATATACCTTATATGGGGACGTTTGTGTGTGTGAGGACACAGCAGGGTGGGGGCTGCCGTTCCTTCACCGTGTGGAATGAGAGGTGTTTCATTTTAGAACAAAGACTCACAGCAAGACAGCACGAACGCAAGCGTAGGGACACACCGTGCTGCTCTGCTGCTCACTGAGCTGGAGCCATGCCACTTTTCAAACTCATACTATGATGTTCTTGCTCTTGGTCTTCTTAAACAGGGCATTAATAAAGAATGTTTGGCAAAAGTATTAGGATGAATAAATCTGGACACAGATTACAAGGAGATTTTACTGCTCAAAGACCAGCATGAATTTCCAAATTGGTGCAGTAGAAGTTGGTTTATGCTGGTTAGTTATAATCTGGTCCAGATCTACCTGTTGGACCAGCAAGCTGTCCACCAGGAAAACCATTTTGGATATTAGAGGAGAACTTTGATGTTTTGTCTCCTTGGCTCCTTGGCTTTGAAGGCCAATTTACCCTTAGATTAAAAATATAATTCTTTATCAGTGTTCATATCAGTATCTTGAAATAAGATACATTAATTAGTTGGGGTTTTTTTTAAGTGAAAGTGACATGACGTGTAGCCAAGTATGATGTCCCATACACGGAATTTGTGCTCTGCATTTACCCCTTTCAAGTGCACACACACAATAGTGAGTAGTGAACACGCACACACCGTGAACACACACCCGGAGCAGCGGGCAGCCATTTTTTTCTGCAGGGTCCGGGGAGCAGTTGGGGGTTCGGTGCCGGCTAATGGTTGGGAGAGTCATTACAAGCTGGAGCCTTACAGGAGCCCCTCCGCCAGGAATGGCTCCTGACGTTCCCCTAGCTGTGTTGTTGTCCACAGCGGTGGAACTCTCTGATGAGATCTGGGTCTAGAATATCTCGAGCTGGCACCCAAGACCGCTCCTCTGGGCGATAACCCTCCCAATCCACAAGATACTGGGTTCTCCCACGGACCTGGCGAGAGTCAAGACTGCTCCTACCCCAACGTCCGAAGCATCCACCTCGACTACAAAGGGCAACTCGGGATCTGGGAGAGTCAGAATAGGTGCGGAAGTGAAGAGCTGCCTGAGTCGGTCGAATGCATGATTAGCCCTCTCAGTCCACTTAAATGGGCTTGATGACTTCTTGGTAAGAGCGGTCAGGGGTTCTGCTATAGCACTAAAGTTCCTAATGAACCTCCTATAAAAGTTGGCAAATCCCAGAAAGCGTTGGACCTCTTTGAGGGAGCATGGTTGGGGCCAATTTAGAACTGCCTGAATCTTGCCGGGATCCATCTGGATGTTGCCACTAGAGACAATGAATCCAAGAAAAGAGACAGTGGGGACATGAAATTCGCTCTTCTCCAGTTTGACAAAGAGTCCATTTCTCAGCAGTTGAGATAGGACGATTCGGACATGTTGGACATGCTCTTGATAGCAACGACAGAAGATGAGAATATCATGAAGATATACAAATACAAACTTGTCTAGCATATCTCGTAGCACATCATTAATAAGTGCCTGAAAAATGGCTGGAGCATTGACTAGCCCAAAGGGCATTACCTGATACTCATAGTGTCCCTTAGGAGTGTTAAAAGCAGTCTTCCGCTCATCTCCTTCTCGTATCCTAACAAGGTGGTAGGCATTCCGAAGGTCTAATTTTGTGAAAATGGTTGCCCCTTGAAGGAGTTCGAAGGCCGTGGTCATTAGTGGCAGTGGGTAGCGGTTCCTTACCGTGATGCGATTAAGGCCCCGGTAGTCAATGCACGGCCGAAGACCGCCATCCTTCTTCCCCACAAAGAAGAAGCCAGCCCCTGCCGGTGACGTAGATGGACGGATGAACCCACTGTTAAGAGCGTCATTGATATATTCCTCCATGGCAGCTCTTTCTGGGGCAGAGAGGGAATAAAGTCTCCCTCGAGGAGGGCAGGTACCCGGTAGCAGATCAATTGCACAGTCATACGGTCTGTGGGGTGGCAGAGAGGCCGCGCGGGTCTTGCTGAAAACTTCACAGAGGTCTGCATATTCTGAGGGGACTCGAGACAGCTCAGGAGGAAGCACTGGGACTCCGGAGGATACAGGTTTAAGCTTGGTGATAGTTAGCACCTCTGTGGATTGGGCTGGTGGCTTGAGAGGAATGGGCAGCAGCTTGGAAGTGGTTGGTCGTGAGTCAGGAGATGTCACCAGCAACTCGGAAAAATAACAGAGAGAGAGACCCGAAATACCACAATTAGTACCCCAACCAATCAGTACCCTGGCTGTCCAATCTATATGTGGATTGTGAAGGGATAACCATGGGAAACCAAGAATTAAAGGGAACTCTGGTGAATGGATCAAGAAAAACTGTATCTTCTCCTTATGACAACCAATTTGGAGATGGAGGGGTGTAGTGCACTGTCTTACCTGACCAGAGCCCAGGGGTCTCCCGTCCAATGCAGTTATGGTCAGGGGTTCTTGAAGAGAGATGGGCTGAATTCTCAGGTGTCTGGCCAAAGTAAAGTCCATAAAATTTCCAGCAGCCCCTGAATCTAGGAAGGCCAGAAGCTTGTGATGTTGGTTACCCCAATCCAGTGATACATTGAGTGAAACCCCAGAAGCTGCTGGTTGGGGGAAGGTGATTACTCTCGTCCTAGGCCCCCTCGTCTTGGACGAGAGTTGTCTTTTCCCGTCAACTCTGGACAGTTGGATCTGAAGTGGTCTGGCTTTCCACAGTACAAGCAGCATTTTTCCCTCATTCGTCGTTCCTTCTCGGCTTGTGACAGTCTGGCCCTTCCCAACTGCATGGGTTCCTCGAAATTCATGGGAAGTGGAGGTGAATCAAGGGCACTGCTAGAAGCTTGGGGCTCAGGCAGCTGGACCTCCCCACGGCGTTCCCGTCTGCGCTCTCGAATGCGGTTGTCCACCCTGATGGCAATGTCAATAAGGGACTCTAGGTCAGGAGCCGGATCTCGGAAGGCCAGTTCATCTTTGAGTTCAGGGGACAGGGCACGGTGAAACGTCACTCTCAGGGCTCGTTGGTCCCAACCGCTCTCTGAGGCTAAAGTACGGAACTCAATCGCAAACTCTGCCACATTCCTTGTCCCTTGAGAAATCTGAAGCAGCCTGTGGTCAACCTCTCCCCCACTGGTAGGGTGATGAAAGACCCTCCTCATCTCTGCAACAAATAGGTCACAATTGTCAGTAAGTGGGGAATGTTGTTCCCACAAAGCCGTAGCCCAGTCCAGCGCTTTTCCGGTGAGCAGAGTGATAAAGCCTCGACATCTCTCAGGATTCCCATCATACCTCTCTGGTGCAGGCAGTCTTGGCTCAGGTAGAAGCCCAGGAAATGGAGGTGTGGACCTTTCAGCTGGAACGGATGGGGGGGTTAAAACTGGAGAGGCTTGAGACTGGGGTGGTTAAAACTGGAGAGGCTTGAGACCTAGTCTGCTCACTTAAGCGTTCTAGTACTTCAGTTAGGATCTGCTCATGTCTGTGAATGGTGGAAGCTTGGCTAGGATACAATCAACATTGGAGGCAGGTGTGGCATCTACTGCTGGGTCCACTTCCATGGTTCAGTCTTGCTGTAATGGGTGTCTGAGGCTGGAATCGAACTCGGGTCTTCCAGTCAACTGAACTGCCTCTTTTACCACTGCGCTATGGTGGATGACAAATAACAGATGGACCCAAGGGCAGAAGAATAACATGCAGGCTTAGATGACTGAACAAAAAGTGCTTTACTGAGGAGTCCAAGATCAAAAGTACAACAAAAAGGAAGCCGTGCTTCCACAGAAAAAATACAAGAAACAAAAGATGAGCAAAAGGCAAATCCAAAAACACAACAGACTTAGCTTTCTTGGTGAGGATAACACCTGCATAGTAGGCTCAAGACTGAACACAACTGAAAGAAAGAGGCATGCTTAAATAGGCAGACACAAACAAGGTAATGACCCACAGGTGGGAGGAATCAAGTCCTAATGAGTAGTAATACAATGAATTCTACAGAAGCTAGGGCCACCTAGTGGCTGGGAGAGTCATTACACGGTATAAGTGTCAGTGCCAGCTAATGGTTGGGAGAGTCATTACAAGTCAGCACCAACTAGAGGCTGGGAGAGTCATTACAAGCTGGAGCCTTACAAATACAATGCAGACCAGACCAGATGAGACCAGACAGACATACAGTATAAAACAAACAATAGAATGAGCAAACAACAGATAGATCGAAAGATTAAACAACAGAATGAGCTAACAATAAAAAGAAAGATAGAATAATAGAACGATAGAATGAACGATAGAATGAGCAAATTCTAGAATGAACAAAAGAATGAATGAACAGTAGAATGTACAAATAATAGAATGAATAACAATGAATGAGTGATAGAATGAGCGAAATCTATCAATGAACAATAGAATCAGCTAGTGATAGAATAAGTCAATGATAAAATGAGTGAACAAACAAACAGACAGACAGACAGACAGACAGATAGATAGATAGATAGATAGATAGATAGATAGAAGCAATATCATACTTGCAATTTAAAAAGGGAGCTGCGAGTGTGGTATTTTTTTCAATGAAAGATAAAAAGATATTTTGTGTGCATGAAGAGCAGCTGTGAGTGCCGTTTAATTCACTCTGAGGATTGAGATACATGCCTGTCTTGGTGTTTCCTCCCTTGTAGGTGATGCGCTGCACGGCGTCCAGCAGAGCCTCCTTATCGCTGTAGGAGCTGAGCTTGAACTCAGTCCTGGCGTCATCACTGAACTGAACAATGGCCACCTGTCAGTTGTAGAAAGTAAGTTAGCAGCCATTTATCACATGTTTAAAAGCAACAGTATATCAATGTCAGAAAGAATTTCCCCCTGGAATTGATTTTAAAGGACATTTTGGTACATTTGGTACAATACTGGCATATTGTATTTTTAACATACTTTAGTACAGTTTAAATCCTTATATTTTAATAATCTTTTGTTGTCCTTTAAAGAAGTTCACTTATTTTGACTAACATATTAAAGCATTTAAGTTTTTTTATTATAATTTTAACTGTAGTGTGTTATTTAGTATTAAGTGAAATGAAACTTCATCATTTCAAATGTGTAATTACTCCAAATCAATTATTTGAAAGTATCACTTAAGTGTATAGGCTAAATAACTCTAAAATACACATTACCATTCAAAGGTTTGCGGTCAGTATGATTTTTAATTTTTTTTTGAAAGAAGTCTCTCACCGAGTGCTCGCCCAGGAAAATCCAGTACAGTGAAAAAAATCCAGTAAAAACATCTAATATTGTGAAATATTATTACAATTTAAAATAAATTCTCTGTTTAATTTTGTCATTTATTTCTGCGATGGCAAAGCTGAATTTCCAACATCATAACTCCAGTATTCAGTGTCACATGATCCTTCAAAAATCATTCTAATAAGCTGATTTGGTGCTCAAAAAACATTTCTTATTTTTATCAATGTCAGTGTTTTCAAAAAGTATTATTGAAAAGTATTCATTTATTAAAAAAGAGACCCAAGCTCTTGAACAATAGTGTATATTATGTAATATATCAAATGCTAGATAACAGACCAAAAAAAAAAAATAATAAAAATGAACTCATAGTAATTGACTATGGAGGCCTTTTTCCCACCACATTTTTAAAAATATCAGGGGTATTTTTGCCTCAAGTCCTGGTTCATTTTTGACCTGTAAGTGTTTTGCTCAGTCACATACTGGTACGTGGATTGCTTAAACCTTGTGATTACCAGCTCAGATCTTTAACCACTAGGCCACACTCTAAAAAGAGAGGCACAAAAGCCATGTCATCATGCATGAGAGTTTGCTGATGTTGAGCCAGTTTGAGCCAAGTCAAACATTTCTACAAGGCCTACAACAGACGACAGAACGCAAACATCTGTGTGTAAAAGAAGAAGATGTTTTATCCATGTTCTGTGTATTTACTTTAGCTCCTGCCCTTGAAACGTGCTTATTCTCCTGTTTTCACATCCCTTGTAGTGGGTCCACTGCAGTGATCCCTAAAGCTGCTGAAGGGTTGTGATGAAGATCTTCTGAGTCCTGGACTGACAAGTCTAGACAAAGGCTATTTTTACCTAATGCTCTCTCAGGATACTGGGTTAAATGCTTGGTAGTGTGGTCTCTAGCCCATAATAGCTATTCCCATGATGCCTCATTCCAAAAATTATCTTTGAGAGAAGCAAAAAACCTTTTTGAAGCAAACCAGACCATTATAAGTTCAAAAGCAGAGCTTCTCAAACTGTAGCGCCCACGTGGAACGACATGACTCTGCAAATTTATAATAGGCTCTACTAAAATTTGATGTAATTTATATTTTTAATGGTCTATAGTCTATATACAATTTTAATACAGATCTGTTCCTTGTCAATAAGAAGTGTACTTAATTTTTACTGAATACTGAATGTATTGAATGTGTACTCGTAGTGTACGTAAAATCTTAAAAGCATATTTAAAAAAAACTGTACTTGCAGATAATATCATATTAATGAAATGAAATACCATTAACTGTATGCAAAGAGAGTACAATTTCATGACTATGTTTCTTAACACACTTAAATAGTTTTAAAAAGTGCACTTCGTAATAGTCAAATCAAACGTTTTACTTTAAAGTAAACTGAAATCATTGTTTTAATATTTTGTTGTGCTTTAAAGAAGTACACTTATTATGATGTGTTTAATAACATACTAAAGCACATGTAAAGTACTTGGTTATAATTTTAACTGTAGTGTTTTATTTGATATTATATGAAGGTATCTTGCTCACCAATGGATCCTCTGAAGTGAATGGGTGCCGTCAGAATGAGAGTTCAAACAGCTGATAAAAACATCACAATAATCCACAATTAATCCACACATTTTCACTGGAGAAAGCAATATTATGGACACAGGACTCGTATTTCAGTTAGAAGCAATGTTTTGAAGTTAAACATTTCTGCGTTAAATTGATTAAAGGTGACAGTAAAGACATTTATAGTGTTAGAAAAGATTTAAAATTAATGGCTGCTGGAAATTTAGCTTTTTATAATTTTATAATTTATAATAAATAGCATTTTAAAATATATTAAACATAGAAAAGAGTTACTTTAAACTGTTATAATATTTTACAGTATTACTGTTCTTACTCTATTTTTATCAAAAAATGTAGCCTTGATGATCATAAAACAATTATTTCAACAACATTAAAAAATCTTACTGACCTCATACTTCTGAACATTAGTGTAACATGTAGAAAGTGTACTAAATGAACAACTCTGACCTAATCGTTTAAGTAAACAGACTCATTAGACTCACTGGGATTAATAAAAATCCCTTATTTCTTTCTTGGACTGACTCATTGCTTATTAAAACAGCAAGTTTGTGAGACATATCACACTTTTGTCCAAGAGCTAAACACAAAGCCACAAAACTCTCATTTTGATTTCATGAGCTCTTTAAGGTAATAAATGTTTCACCTTTTACCATGTGACCTGTCCTCATTAAGAGTAATGTGTAACATGCAGGGCAAAGCCTTTAGGTGACTACCCAAAGGCCGAGAGATAAAGCCATCTAAAAGTAACAAATAAATCTAAAGAAGTATTCGGTTTCAGGCCAAGAAATTATTCAGGTCTTACTTTATGATTCATTAAACACCATAAGCATTCGGCCAGACAATGAAGCAAATATATCCACTATAAAGTTTTTTGAAATGTAAAGGATCTATATAAGGAGGTTAAATAAGTTCTGTGTGCTTTTATCAGATGTTTTGGGAAGACTCAGACATATTTATTGAGTGCAGAGTGGCTCCGAGAATAAGAAAAGGTTAGCTGTCAGCAGAGATGTATGTTAGTGAAAGGTCACACAACACATAGGGACATGGCCAGCAAACAGGGAAAAACGATGGCAAACAGGCCGGTTCTTCCCACACTGGTGTCCTACCTTCTTTGGCAGGGGGGATGGTGGGAGGAGGGATCGTGGTGGGTGGTGCGGTCGGTGGCTGGGTGGGTGCTGGAGCTGCAGAAACAACAAAACAACACATAAACCAGAGCAGGGCCTGGCTGTCTGCACTTTATTACACACACAATCAGATTTGTGATCTCAACGGAAATCCAATTGTACAAGAAATAGGACACACTGCTCAACTGCTGGTGGTTCAGTCTGTTTCTCAGGCAGTGATTGAGTGTATGTGGTCAAGGTAGGATGTTGTCTTCAGTTCATTGGCTGGAAATGACCTGTATCATTGAAGTGTTTCTACCGCCTAATTGACACGCTAACGTGTGTGTTATATACACTGAAACTTGTACAGTGAACAATCCCCATAAACTGCAAAAATATGCTCTTAATCATTATTTTTTATCTTTATTGAGTTTTTCAGTAAAAATATCTAAACATGCCAACAAATATATGTCATATATAATATATTGGGTGAATTCAGGTAAACTGGGAAAATTTTGAAAGAAGTAATTAAAAGTTACATTAAGATCATCACTTAAAGGGGTCATATGATGCTGCTAAAAAGAACATTATTTTGTGTATTTGGTATAATGAAATGTGTTTATGCGGTTTAAGGTTCAAAAAACACATTATTTTCCACAAACATCACAATAATCCACAATTAATCCACACATTTTCACTGGAGAAAGCAATATTATGGACACAGGACTCGTATTTCAGTTAGAAGCAATGTTTTGAAGTTAAACATTTCTTGATGGGTTTGTTTCTTACAAACACACAGCTTTTTCGCGTCACAAGATGTTGATTGATGGACTGGAGTCGTGTGGATTACTTGTGAATTATTGTGGTTTTTATCAGCTGTTTGAACCTTTATGCTGATGGCACCCACTCACTGCAGAGAATGGGTGCCATCAGTTTTGCTTTTAGCTCAGGATGATAGTCATTTCTTTCATAAAAACGTTAGAAATGTTATACAATGTAAACAAATAAAAACAATATGAAGTAGACTGAATTTGACAAATATTTCACGCGCAGCATACCTGTGTTCCCTCTGGGCCAATCACATCAAGTGCACCAGTTGTGCTGTATAGGAAACGGATAATCTTCTGAAAGTTGTCATCTCCAATACTCCAGGAGCCATCTACAAGGAAGGCCAGGTCTGCCTTGGCTGCTTTGCAAACTGAGAGAGAAAATTCGACAGACAGAGCAAGAGAGAGAGGAAGCAGGTGAAAAATCACTAGCTAAAATAAGAAATTCTCATTACTGTGTAAGCGCTGCAGTACAACAGATGTCAAATGATTCCAAACACTTCCCTTCCTCACTGACAGGATCTCCATCACAGCTAGCTGGATAAAACGTGTGTGACGAAAATGTTACGCCCCTTACCATATTGTGGTAATAACCTGTCAGGCCGGAGCGATGATTCAAAAACATGAAAACCCATTATAAACGAGGCATTCGTTGCATCCAGTGGGGACATAATTATGGATTATAATGACTTGTACTGTCTTTTTATGTTTTTTTGTCTGCATTTGTGATCGGAGAAATGACAAACAACAAGCCCTACTCTACACTGCCCAAAAAACTCGCTTTAA